TTGGAATGGGAATGTGTATGCAATATAGGATGGCTTGAATTAGAATAAGAATTATTTTGACATGCAATTTTGTGATCTCATATGCTATACAGAATATTTTTCCTTGGCTTCATATTAGCAGGGAAAATCTTTACATTTATAAAACATTCCTAAAGAACCAAAAATAAATCCTTTCCAAATGGCAAATAAAACTCAATCTTTATTACTGCCATAGCATACAATAATGTATTATATTATTTGAACATTTTGGCAGAATTTCTATAGTAATGTTCTGCTTCACAATTCCAGCAATTAAATTTAATTGATTGAAAAGATTATAATTTGAAAAACAAAAGTCATTTTCATTGAAGCAAAAAGGTAATTAAAAGGCCCAGCAAGTCTAGAATAATCTATATATTCATTTTATTGTTAATACTGGTTTTCTTTAAAGCACTTATAAGAAAATCTGTATAATAAAAAGAAGCAAATGGAAGTCATAGTTCATTATTTATTTTTAGTACTTTTAATGTATCAGAAGATACAGAAAATACTTTATAAAAATCATACAGCCCCTCTTGTGCAACAGTGAAACATTTATGAGCGTTGCAATATCTTCCTTTATTACTGTTCAGTAGAATATCTGCTTTGGATAAAATTATTCTTTCTTAAATTCTACTTCCATTGAAAACATTTTGAATCCTTTTGTTATTGTTTAGTTGTCTCATAAAAAGAATTATCTCTTCATTTACACAGAAACAATAAAACCTAGGATTAAGCAAATCATACAATATAAGCATAACCATGATAGAGGATGACACAAAATTGTATATTTTAATCTTCTTCATTAGTTAGGGGAATACAATTTATTCCTAATAAATAAATACATATTCATTATAATTCCATAACTACAGATTACATTAAAATGTTTGGAAAGATCCAAATTCTTGCCTTTTTCTCCCATTCCTTGAGTATATAGTTAATATAGCCAATAATAGGAAAATAGAAGACTTTTTTTAGAAGCAGAGATTTTTAGAGATGGTAAATCAAATTACCATCTCTAAATCCTAGCTTATCCAAACTAATCTCAAAATGCTACACCTGATAATGTCTGGTTAGCACTTGAATCAAGATCACCAAAATTTCTCAGAGCTGCAGACAAGATCGTTGTCATCGGTATGACAATAATCATAAGCAATAACTATTAGCTATTCAGTTTGATCAAATATTTTCTGGCAAATTGTTCAAGGAATGCTTCTTAGAATAAATCCTATGGCAAGTATATTTTCTGCATTTCCCAAGACTTATCCACAATTGCAATAGAAAAAAAGAAGAAAATCAATTTTCTTCTCAATAAATAAATATCTACTATTATAATTTCATAACTAAAATTATACTGAAATATTTGGAAAAGGAGAAAACCATTTCTGATCCAAATTACTTGAATATGCAGATAAAGATAACCAATAATCAGATCACAGAGGGACTGGGACTAGGAAGATAGAAGGCTTTTTAGAATCAGGGATTTTATCACTGAAATAAATCTAGGTCAACATACTTTGCAAGAGAACTAGTTAAAACTTCAATGTGGATTCTGTTAGATTTTCCATAGCAAAATACTGTGAAGCTTATCTATATTTGTCTTTGCTCAAAATTATGTAGAAGTGTGGCTGAAAAATTAATGTGACCAAAAAAGAGAATTGAAAAACACTTAAATTAAGGATTGTTTTATTCAGATCTGGTTTTAAATCTTTCATAAACTTTTTCCATCTTAATTTATACAGAGAGATTTGGGACTGAAAATCCTGAATATTGATGTTTAGAAATCTTGATGTATTTCTCTTTAAAAATTTATACATATTCATGCCCTAGTTTTCCCAAATTTTGTTTTCCTTTCAGTTTTATTTCTTCCTCTTATTTTAATTAATTTATTGATATGTGGCAGGTTCATTAGAAAAAGAAACAAGATTAGAGAAAAAGCTGCTGCCATTAACAGAAGACTTTGCCCATCCATCTTACAATGTAATATTTTTGCAACATCAATCAGTACTTTCAGTAAGTATCACATCTTATTATGAAATTTTCTTATTCCAAGCTATGTTGCTATGTTAGTTACAATGTCCACCAGCAGTTCTTCAGTTTTAGACAGAGTGATTTTCAAGACCAAGCGTTCATAAAATACCAGAATACAAAAATCCAAAAGATTTGGAGGGTCCTTAAGCAACTACACTAGACTTTAGCAACTATAGTTCCTTCATGTAAATGTAGAGTTTAACACCTACTAAATGATCTGCAAAGTCCTAATAAGTCCTTGACGTAAGTTACATTGGCTGCAAAAGGGTTTCCTCATAGAACCCAACCTTCATTATAATTTTGAATTGTTAAACTATATTAGATATAATTTAATGTATTATAATTCTAATATATATATACTGTACATATATATAATAATATATATAATCTAACTCTATTAACTCTCTCCTTTGTATGTAAATAGATATAAAATTGTCACAGTGTCAATGCATATACAAACATATTCAGATAAATATGAGCAATAGATAATGACTGATCTAGTGTAGTGATTAGTGTCAAAATGTGACTGTATAATCAAGTTTACAGCCATTTTAATAATGACCATTACTGGAACATCTAGCAGCAATCAATATGTGTCAGTTTAACCTATCTCAAAAAAAATGTACTGAGAGTAACAGCAGAACCATTATAAGAGACAAAATGACTGCAAATCATATAAATGAGAACTTCCTTAGTATTAGAATAATAGCATTAGTATTAGTTCTAAGATCAGCCAATTATATGCCATAGTAACTTGCTAGGTCTTCATGTATCCATGCAAACAGCCAAAGATAAGAGTTAATACTTGCTTTGATGATAAGAAGCTAAGAGCACAGTTCAGTTTAGATTCTTATTGGGAAGCTCTAATACAGTGGTTCTCAACCTGTGGGTCGGGACCCCATTTGGGGTCGAATGACCATTTCACAGGGGTCACCAAACCATGCTGTCCGCCATTTTTTTCCCTTTTCCCTAGCTGTCCTACTCCCTCTTATTGGTGGCCACACCCACTTGGGGGTCACCACAACATGGGGAACTGTATTATGGGGTCACGGCATTAGAAAGGTTGAGAATCACTGCTCTAATAAGACAAGGATTGGTTGGGAGTGATTGATATCAGTACCAAGGCCACATTGTATCAGAGGTTTTTCTGAAAGCAGTACTGCACTTGCAGAGGAAAAGAGAGGGAAAGGAGAAAATGCCTGAAATGGACTTAGCCATTCAAACTTTTCAAAATATCTTTCAAAATCTGCACCGGGCAAAGAAATTAGGTAGTTGATTTCCCTGAGTTGTTCAGCATAAGGAAAAACTTCCAACAAATTCTCAAGTGCATGATTATATCCCTTCATATAAAGATCAGTGATAAAATGTCTAAAGGATTTCTCTCATGAGGGTTTCTCCTGGGAAATATAAAAAACTATGGAGCTACAGATCAATGGATATATCAAGTATTGAAGAGATGACTGCACAATGAAAGATAAGGTATTAACATACAGGCTCATCTCATAACTATATAAGTGCAAGAATACATTCCACTTCTAAGTGCTTATCAGAAATTATCTTTGGAAATGTTTTAAAAGATAATTATCTTAAATAAAATTAAATTAAAAATTAAATGAAAACTAGAAGAAAAAAAATTGCAGAATTCCTTGGTCTGGCACTAATTTAATACACTGTAGTTGTATTAAATGTATTAAAGTTGTATTTTGTGGTTGTTTCTCCATTCAACTACCTCATAATGTAAGCCAGAGAATACAAACTTTCCCCCACTATTAATTTGAAATGGCTTAACCCTAAGAATATAATGAAGAAGCAATTATTTTAAATTAAGAAAGATATTTAATAGAAAACATATTGTTTAAAAAACCAGAAAATGTCAGATACTTAAATATGAACGTTAACAAATGAACTCACGATCCTTTGCTAGGCAACAGATTCTGTACTAACATGTTTCCTTTGTCTGAACCAAGCTTTGTTACTGAGTACAATGGAACTTACAATTCATAATAAATGTTTAAATATGGTTTTATTTTCAAGGCTGGTGAAGCAGCTGGAGTAGCCATAGCCATGTTTCAAGTGTACTGTTATCATCACAAGTCACACTTTATATGAATAATTTAATAGCATGGTTTGACCTCTTCTTCTCCTCCAATTCTTCTGTTTTTCTTCTAAAAGCTTTACAACTATACAATTATTTCTCAACATCTTTCTTGAATGTCCACAAATATGTTTGCTTTCAGATGAGTTCACATTTATTTAATTAAGGCCTAGGCTTGTGCTATTCTTAAATAAAGCAGACATCACTCTCAGGCTTTCAAATAATTAATCAAAGTGGCCAATTTTATCTTAAATAATTAAAGGTTTCCTGGTTTATGGCAGCATTATTAACATGTGATTAATAAGCAGTTAATGAAAACCAGCTCCAGCAATACATTTATTAAGATACTTTGTCTTAGTTCAAACTTAGGTGACATTGTTTTAAACCACAGTTCAGAGGCCTTTTTCATTTAGCAATATATTCTTAAAAATATTATCTCATCAAGCAGCTAACAGAATTCAAAACATATGGGGGCCCTCTTGTTCCTCCTGGAAAATAAATGTGGCTTACTGTGTCTTATTATTGGGCCAGTTAACAGCAATCTAAATGTAGTCCAAGTTAATCAAGATGAACTTATTTTGTCTCCTTCATGGTTTTGGAAACAATAGAAAAACAAAATCAACTGTAGGTAATCTTAAAGTTCTATAAATATAGGTAAAATGGGAAAGTGAAATTCCGGTGCAATCCAATATATACACAAAATACTGTATCTATTGGGGGAATAAAATCATGATATGGGATCTTCCAAAAAGAATTGTGAATGATTGGTAAAAGTGATAAGAGTTTTCTACCTTGCATCATTTTGTTTCACTTTCACTCACTTCTACTAACAATAATAACACAAGATGACACTTACTTGAGGACCAGGTTGACCCTGTGTAGAAAAGAGAGAGAAAAAGAAAGAACAATTTTAAACACCAAACCCATTAAAAAAAAGTTAGAAGTTAGTGCAAGTTAGAAATGTACTGTGTGGAGGAACAAGGTCATGTTATTTTCACAATGTGCTGCTAATGATCTATATAAAAACATATTAATAAGGTAGCATTATTGTTCGATAATTAGATTTCAGTAGACCAGCTTCAAAGTAATCTCTATAAACCTTATCTGAAAACCAACAACAACAACCAAATTCTTAACTGCCAATACAACTCTTTTGATCTAACAAATTGCTGGTAACAGTTTTTCCTTAAACAGATATTCCATCCTTCAGTTAATATTTTTCTCCATCAAAATTACATTACATTCAAAATTAATTGTCTTTAAAGTGATAGTTTTTTCACATTAGTTCATTTTCTAATTTTTAAAATATGACTACTGTAAATACATAGAGCAGTGGTGACGAACTACTACGCGTGCCAACATCCCAGCCCCACCTCCCTCTTCAGCCCCCTCTGCCCCAACAGCCCCCCGGAGGAGAGTCGCGCCTGGGCACGGCCTGCACGGATCAGCGCAGCCAAGGACATGGCAGCTGGACAGCAGGGACAAGACTCTGCCATCATGCCCGCCATGTGCAGTTGATGCTGCAAGGCGCGGGCAGAGGTCGTGGCCGCCATGGTGCTGCTGGGTCACCTGGGCAATCTGTGGCTGGCTGTGGAAGTGGTGTGTGGTCCTGCAGGTGGGCGGGGTTGGAGTGGGGGCAGGGCAGGTAGGGCAGAGTGGGTGGGACCAGGGACGGACCTGGGGGCAGGCAGAGGCAGAGTGGCAGGATGGGGGGGCAGAGCGGGGGCCAGGGCAGGGGTGGAGCCATTTTTTGGGCATTCAGTATCGAAAAGATTCACCATCACTGACATCGAGTATGTTGTTGAATTTGAACTCTATATTGTTACCTTTATTTTATTTAGATTATTTATAGGCTGTTCCAATCATAGTTAGGAATATTTGTTTATGTCAAGAAAGTGAGATTTTCAATACAAAAATCTCACTTTCTTGACATAAGCAAATATTCCTAACTATGATGACACTAAAATAATAAAATGTGTGTTGTGAAGAAGCCCTGCTCTTTAATAATGTCCTATGAAAGGATATAAGGAGCAGAGTGACATACACACATTTTACATCATGAAGAACATCTTTTTCCCCCTTACCTGTGAATGCCCATTTCTACCTTGATTTTAAAAATAGTGCTCAGGTAGAAGGAAACCATTTGCATAATTATATCAACTTTCCCAAAGCATCTGGTTGGTCATAATTAGAGGAACTTTTCAGGCCAAGAATTTCATGTAACTCTTTTTGCATCAAAGATCTCACTGACATTCTTTAAAAACAATTTGATGGAGTCAGGATATGCATTTATTTCTTTTCATGAATATTTCTTCCGCTACACTCAAAATACTCAAAAAATGTTCTATATTGGTTATCTTTGAAAATCACACAGAGATTGCAACTGATAAAGAATCAGTTTACTTGTCTCATTGAGTATGTTAAGGTTTTCTGACTTACAAAAAATGAGGTATGTGGGGATTTAGAAGTGGCACAGGTTATAGTGATAAAAAATAACTTTATAATCAAACCTTGCGTTTATTACTTTTGTTCATCATAAACCCAGTTATGGTTTCATTTAGAGATCACTTCTCTTAACAATTGAGTCCCCACTCCCAATTATGGTTGCCAAACAAGGACTATCTATATTTCTTCTGGTGACTATTTTATAAAATAATCTCTGATCTTGGAAATCAGACTGGACTAATTATATTCTGGTGACCTTTGGAAATCTGCTAAGCCAAAGTTATTCCAGAGGGCTCCTGGGAGTTGATATTGCCCAGTGCTACAATATTTAAAATTATTTACATTAATATTTTATTAGGAACTTGTATTATAACTTTTCAACTTCAATGTATTTTTGATTATGATCGTAAATCTCCAATAGTTCAATGATTTGGAAAATATATAAAGGAAATAAGTGAGCAAACAAATATTCCAAACATGATCTGGATGACTGAGAATCTCCATAGACATTGAGCAAACAAGTAGAGAATTTAATAAATAAATTAAGTATTAAATAAATACTTTAATAAAAACTGTATATTTTATTAGGGATCTCTAAGAGATACTTACAATTTCTCAAGAATGCATTCAGCCATATCTAGTCATCCATTTTCCTATTCATTCTTTCCTTAAAAACTTGCATAATTACCAGTACTTTCATGCAAATATCATTTTACTTAACACTGATCATCCCAAAGCTTCTTATTAAATTAAAGTTTTTTAAATAAGTGTTCCAAGGGTTATGCTTCAGTTTTTAAAAATCATACATGTGTACTGAGGCTTGTTTCCATTAGAGTACAGCCATAATAACTTTTCTTCAATTGACAGAGGTTGTTTTCATATCTCTGACAGGAGAATTATTTTAAGCTCTATCATTCCTTTAGTTGTAATACACACAGGAAAATATAGTTAGTGTAAGCTAAGAGAAAATGAAAAATACCCAGGGTTACTTGGAAAAAATAAGTTGGATTTCTTATCACAATCAATTAGCAATGAGAAAACAGAAAACTTCTAAATCCTTAGAAAAGTACTGAAACCTTAAACAATCGGATTTCATTATAATGTTTAAGAATTCACTTAAAGCTCCAGAAAGTCTTTTACTGAGATATGAAAACTGCTATGAAACTGTTTCAGTGATCCCAAAAGACTCCATAGAATATAATCCCTAGGTTACATTATATGAAGAGTTAATATAAAATTTTATCTCAATTCAGAATGCATTGAATGTGCTAAATGATATTTAAACGTTTACTAGCATGTATAGTGAAGACCTAAAATTAGGACGTGCACATTGTTGGGTGGCATTAGAGACATATAGTACATCAATAGTGAGTGTATTTCTTGATTGTAAAGACTGTAATGAGATCAAATAGTTTATCTTCTGAAATATTTTGAAAAGGAGCTATAATGAGAAAGATACTTTTTTCAAGGCAAGGAGTAATCAGTGTGTGTTAACTGAGTGGGAGTCTCCTCTAAACCACACCATAAATAATTAGTGGAAATATTGAATGACAATGTACAATAGAGTTCTTTTTCCAAGATTAGTCAAAAAGAATGCTATCCATAGCAATGGAACTCCAAAAGGAAGACAATTCATTGAAGAGGGATAACAGGAAGAAGAGGAAAAGTGGCAAATATTCAATAAAATGTAGAAGATTTCAAAGCGCAGAAGCACCACAGTAAGCAAATATTTATCCTCAAATGCAAGCATCATGAAAACATCCACCTCTAGCATTTTTCCACATTCTCCAAAAACAGTACTGCAGATTAAAAATGTCAAAAATCATTGGAGTGTTTATAAGTATGATAGAAGAGAATACCATCTAACTTTTGAATAATTTACATTTAATTTTCCTCTTTCTGTTCTTTATATACAATGAGTTAAAGTATTTTACAATTTGTTTACTGATTGTAACTATATTTGTTTAAGGTTTATTTGGGTTTTAAAAATTTTTTTTTTCTTTTTTTTCTTTTAAGTTCTAGTTAAGCCTGTATTCAGCTCTGGGAAGATTGGGGGAGGGTCTTGGGGTGGGTTGGGAGGGACTGGGGAAGGGGATTTTATTGTAAAAATTTTAAAAAATTTTCAATAAAAAAAAATCACTGGAGTGTTGCTACGTCTAGCTAGCATTTCCATAGCACCATTTCTTGCACCATATACAATAATAACATGTCTATCTAAACAACTATTTAATCCTTTCTCTTACCACAGATATGAGCTGTAATATTTCTCTCTCTTGTTTTTCCAATGTTGAAAGCATGATAAAGGTAATAATAATAATAATAATAATAATAATAATAATAATAATAATAATAATAATAATAATAATAATAATGGTGATGAAAATGATAAAATTAAACTGCTCTGGGACTTCAGAATTCAAACAGACAAGCACCTGCAACATAACACTCCAGACTTAACAATTGTCGATAAGAAAGACAAAAAAGTCTGGATAGTGGACGTGGCAGTGCCTGGAGACAGCAGAATAGAAGAGAAAGAACTGGAGAAGATAACAAAATACAAAGACCTACAAATAGAAATAGAAAGACTGTGGCAAAAGCAAGCAAGGGTAGTACCAATAGTCATAGGCTCCTTGGGTGCAATCCCAAAACAACTGGAGCACCACTTGAACACCATTGGCATTGACAAATTCGCTATTAGTCAATTGCAAAAGGCGGCCTTATTAGGAACTGCTTCCATCCTGCGACGATACCTGTAATACCATCAAACATCCACATCTGCCTATCCCAGGTCCTGGTAAGGACTCGATAGGTAGACAAAATGCCAAATCCAGTCTGAACATCTGGCTGACTGTGCGATGATCCATAATAATAAAGTTGGAAGGGACCTTGGAGGTCATCTAGTCCAACCCCTGCTCAGGCAGGAAACCCTATACCATTTCAGACAAATGGCTGTCCAGTCCCTTCTTAAAAACTTCCAGTGTTGGAGCATTCACCACTTCTGGAGGCAGGTTGTTCCACTGATCAATTGTTCTAACTGTCAGGAAGTTTCTCCTTAGTTCTAGGTTGCTTCTCTCCTTGGTTAATTTCCATCCGTTGCTTCTTGTCCTGCCTTCAGGTGCTTTGGAAGTTTTTTAATTGCAGTTTTTAATTTGTCCAATGTCAAATATTTTTATGTCCCTTGTTTTGAATGTACTACTCAGAAGCGTTCTTATACATGAGGGGGTTTGGTGAATTGGGAAAGTGTTTTTCTCATTTTATTAATTCCATAAAAAATATTCCTATAAATTCACCATCACTGGGACACAGGGTTACCTAATTATTTTAATACACCAGTGTTTCTCAAAGAGAAGATATTTAAGGGCAAATAATGTTGAAATATTTATAATTAACATACAGAGCATTTCTCATTACAATCTATCTATTAATAAA